CGGCCGCCCTCCCCCCCCCCACTCAGCTGCCCTCTTGCCTGCCCAGGCTGAACCCCTCGCACAGCAGGAAGGCGCTGAGGAACTCCCGCCTTGTCAGCCAGAAGGACGACGTCCACGTCTGCATCATGTGTCTCCGCGCCATCATGAACTACCAGGTGGGAGAGGGCAGCGTCCTTGGACACCCACCCAGGGCTCCTGAAAAGCCTGCGGGGCCATCTTTGGGGTCAAGGTTTGGTTGGGGTGGGGCCCCTTCTCCATGTCCTTGCTCTGAGATGTCCTCACTCAACCTTATGTCTGGTGGGGATGTGGCATGGCGATGTCCCAAGGTCCTGGAGCATCCCTGGGGTGGGGACAGGAGGATGCACAACCCCATTAATGCTCTTTTCCCCCCCCCAAGTCTGGCTTCAGCCTGGTGATGAACCACCCAGCCTGCGTCAACGAGATCACCCTGAGCCTCAACAACAAGAACGCCAGGTAGGACCTGTCCCTGTCCTCCTGTCCTTCCGTCCCCTTGCCCACCCCATGACCCTGACCCCCTTGCACCATGTGTTTCTGCAGGACCAAGGCACTGGTGCTGGAGCTGCTGGCTGCCGTCTGCCTGGTCCGAGGTGGCCACGACATCATCCTGGCTGCCTTCGACAACTTCAAGGAGGTGAGTCCCCAGAAGGGACATGTGGTCCCCACACTGACACCTGTGCTCTGGATGGGTTTGTGCCTCGTTTTTCCTGCATGTGGCAGAGCCCTGCATCATCTCACTTGGGGATGCTCCAGCCATTGGGCTTGGATGTCCCCATGCCAGTGCATGTCCCTGGGGCCATGTCCCAGCTGGACCAGGTGCTTGGCAGCACCCGCCAGGGCTAGGACAGTGTCACCAGGGGGTGCCTCCTGCTCCACAACCCCCCCGGGTGCCCACCCTGGCCATGTCCTTCCTGGACCTCAGGCCCCTGCTCCCACCCCAGGTCTGCGGGGAGAAGAACCGCTTCGAGAAGCTGATGGAGTATTTCCGAAATGAGGACACCAACATTGACTTCATGGTGAGTGGCTGGGGGGAGGCTGGTGCCCTGCTGTCCCCAGAGCATTGTGTCCCCACAGGCTGCTGAGCTGCTGGTCCTTGCCCAGGTCCCCCTGTCCCCAAGGGCTGCTGAGCTGCTGGTCCTTGCCCAGGTCCCCGTGTCCCCAAGGGCTGCTGAGCTGCTGGTCCTTGCCCAGGTCCCCATGTCCCCAGGGCTGTGAAACCACCATGCGTTTCCCAGGGGCACCATGTCCCTGAGAGCCACTGATCCACTGCACAATCCCTGGGGCACTGTGTCCCCAAGGACTACTGGGGCCATAGCGCTGTGCTGGTGGCCATGTTGAGCCTGTGCCTGTCCCACAGGTGGCCTGCATGCAGTTCATCAACATTGTGGTGCACTCTGTGGAGAACATGAACTTCCGCGTCTTCCTGCAGTATGAGTTCACCCACCTGGGGCTGGACCACTACCTGGAGGTGGGTGATCCTGCACTGCCCCGGTGCTGAGCCCCAGTGCTGGAGGTGGGTGGGTGCTGGGGGGGCTGCCACTGGCCATGACGGTGCCACCGGCTGTCCTATGGCAGACCCTCCGTCTCACCGAGAGCGACAAGCTGCAGGTGCAGATCCAAGCCTACCTGGACAATGTTTTTGATGTGGGGGCCATGCTGGAGGACTCAGAGACCAAGACAGCCGTGCTAGAGCACATGGAGGAGCTGCAGGAGCACGTCAGCCAGGTGGGACGTGGGCGCGTGGGCAGGAGCTGCTGACGCAAGCCCCGAGGGAGGGATGGGGATGGGGCTGAGCCACGTCGCCTCATCCCCTGCAGTTGACGGAGAAGCTGCAGGATGCGGAGAACGACTCCATGGCCAAGATAGCGGAGCTGGAGAAGCAGCTGAGCCAGGCGCGGCGGGAGCTGGAGGCGCTGCGGGTGAGGAACCATGGGCGCTGTGATGCTTCAGGAAGGGATGGGTGCCTGGGCGACCGGGGTTTAAGGGGTGCAATGGGACACGGGTGATGTCCTGGGGCTTGTCCCCACTGCAGGAGCAGCTGAGCCCACCGCAGCCCCCCAGCCCCCCGTCCCCGCAGCCCAGGACTGCTTACCGGCTAGCACCGGAGCGGCGGGGGGGGGGGGGGGGGGCGGGAGGGGGGGGGTGCG